CAGTTTGAAAATGAATTTTTTCAAAAATCTCGAAAATTATCAGTTTTCATTTTGTTGATTATGGAAAAATTGTTGGAATTTTCAAAGAAATTAAGCAAAAAATAACTTCTAAACAACGAAATCGACAAAAAAATACCAGTAGACGAAGTCTATGAAAAATGGCGCAATCAATGAAAAATCTAGGTAATAATTTTTGTTCAATTGAGATTTTTGAAAAATTGCTTAAAAATGACCAAAAAATTCTAAGAAATAATGTCGATGAACTGATTCCAAATATACAAGGTGTGATGGTCGCGAAGCAAGTTTTCGAAAAATTTGGTTTGAAAATGAAATTTTTCAAAGATTTCGAAAATCGTCATTTTTTATTTTGCCAACTCTGGAAAAGTTTTTGGAAATTTCAAAGAAATAAAACTGAAAACAACTTCTACAAGATGAAATTTACAAAAAACGTCTTGAGGTAATTTTTGGATGGTGCTTCAATAGGGTCAAAGAATTGATCGAAAAATTTAGATTTTTGGAAAGTTGCATAAAAATTATAAAAATCTGGGAAATACATTTCGACAAGTTGCTTCGAAAAATGAAAGATGTTAATGGTCCCAGATCACGGTTTTCAAAAAATTGGGCCTGAAAATGAATTTTTTAAAAATCTCGAAAATTGGCAGTTTTCGTTTTATGGGTTCTGGAAAAATTGTCGGAATTTTCGACAATAGAAAATCTATGGTGCTCGAAAAAAGGTCAAAAAATTAATTGAAAAATTACGATTTTTGAAAAGTTGCGTAAAAATTATGAAAAAATTCTCGGAAATACATTTTGACGAGTCGATTTGAAAAATACAAGATACTGATGGTCTCGGATTACGGTTTTCAAAAATTCGGCGTGAAATGAAAAATTTTAAATATCTCGAAAATTGACGTTTTTAATTTTGTCAATTCTGGAAAAATTGTCGGAATTTTCGAAGAAATATAGCCGTAAATAACTCCTACAAGACGAAATACACCAGAAAATGTCTTCCGGTAATTTTCCAAGGGTGCTCAAAAAATTGAGATTTTTGAAAAGTTGCTTAAAAATTGTCAAAAAATTTTGGGAAAAATTGTTGGAATTTTCGAACAAACTAAGCCGAAAATAACTTCTACAAGTCAAAATGTACAACAGCACACGAAAATGTCTAGGTAATTTTCAAAAGGTGCTTGAAAAATGGTAAAAAATTACAAACCTAAAAATTTTAAATATTTTGAAAAATTGAGATTTTTAGATTTTTGAAAAGTTGCATAAAACAAAAAATTATCAAAACATTCTAGAAAATACTTTTCGACAAGCTCATTCCAAAACCATACGTGTTGATGGGCCCGGATCTAAATTTTCGAAAAATTCTGTATGAAAATGTGATTTTGTAAATATTTCAAAAATTGTTAGTTTTCATTTAATCGATCCTGGAAAAATGGTTGGAATTTTCGAACAAATTAAGCCGAAAATAACTTCTACAAGTCAAAATCTACAACAAAACAAGAAAATGTCTCGTAATTTTCGAATAGTGCTCGAAAAATGGTAAAAATTACAAAGATAAAATTTTGAAAGATTTTGAAAAATTCAGATTTCTGAAAAGTTGCATAAAAATTGTCAAAAAATTCTGGGAAACACATTTCGACAAGCTGATTCCAAAAACATAAGGTGTTGATGGCCCCGGACCTAGATTTTCGAAAAATTCTGTTCGAAAATGGATTTTGTAATTATTTCAAAAATCGTTAGTTTTCATTTCATCGATCCTGGAAAAATTGTTGGAATTTTCGAACAATTTAAGACGAAAATTACGTCCACAAGTAAAAATCCATGACAAAACAAGAAAATGTCTTGGTAATTTTTTAATGGTGCTCCAAAAATGGTAAAAAAATGAAAGATTTCGAAAAATTGAGATTTTTGGAAAGTTGCATAAAAATTATCAAAAAATTCTGAGAAATACATTTCGACGAGGTGATTAGAAAAATATAAGGTCTTAATGGTCCTGGACCACGGTTTTCGAAAAAATCGGTTTGACAATATAATTTTTGAAATATCTGGAAAATTGTCATTTTTCATTTTATAAATTCTCGAAAAATTGTCGGAATTTTCGAAGAATTAAGCGGAAATAGATATATCTTTAAGTAATTTTCAAAACGTGCTCGAAAACCGTGAAAAAAAACTGAAAAATTGAGATTTTTGAAAAGATGCCTTAAAATTGTCAAAAAATTCTAGGAAACACATTTCGATAAGCTGATCCCAAAAACATAACGTGTGTTGATAGTCTCGGACCTAGATTTTCGAAAAATTCGGTTTGAATATGAAATTTTGTAAATATTTCAAAAATTGATAGTTTTCATTTGACCAATCCTGGAAAAGTCTTCGAATTTTCGAACAAATTAAGCCGAAAATAGCTTCTACAAGTCAAAAAACAAAATAAGAAAACGTCTAGGTAATTTTCGAATGTTGCTTGAAAAATGGTAAAAAAATTAACACACTTAAAAATTTGAAAGATTTTGAAAAATTGGCATTTTTGTAAAGTTGCGAAAAAATTATAAAAAAAATTCTGGGAAATACATTTAGACGAGCTGATCACAAAAATAAAAGGTATTGATGTTTCCGGACTTAGATTTTCGAAAAATTCTGCATGAAAATAAAATTTGTACATATTTCAAAAATTGCTAGTTTTGATTTGATTAATTCTGGAAAAATTGTTGGAATTTTCGAACAAATTAAACCGAAGATAACTTCTACAAGTTAAAATCTGCAAGAAAACAAGAAAATGTCTAGGCAGTGCTCGAAAAATGGTAAAAAGTGGAAAACTCAAAAATTTTTAAGATTTTGAAAAATTGAGATTTTTGAAAAGTTCCTTAAAGATGATAAAAAAATTCTGAAAAATACATTTCGAGGAGCTGATTAGAAAAATATAAGGGTTTGATGGTTCCGAACCATGGTTTTCGAAAAAATCGGTTTGACAATATTATTTTTGAAATATCTCGAAAACTATCATTTTTCATTTTATAAATTCTCGAAAAATTGTCGGAATTTTCGAAGAAAAAAGCCGAAAATAGCTTCTACAAATCGAAATAGAAATGTCTTTAGGTAATTTTCAAATCTGCTCGAAAACCGTGAAAAAAAAATGAAAAATTGAAATTTTTGAAAAGTTGCGTTAAAATTGTCAAAAAATTCTGGGAAACACATTTCGATAAGTTGGTCCCAAAAACACAACGTGTTGATAGTCTCGGACCTAGATTTTCGAAAAATTCGGCTTGAAAATGTGATTTTGTAAATATTTCAAAAATTGTTAGTTTTCATTCAAGTCAAAATCTACAACAAAACAAGAAAATGTCTAGCTAATTTTCGAGTGGTGTTTGAAAAATGGTAAAAATTACAAAGATAAAAATTTGAAAGATTTTGAAAGATTCAGATTTCTGAAAAGTTGCATAATAATTGTCAAAAAATTCTGGGAAGCACATTTCTACAAGCTGATTCCAAAAACATAAGGTGTTGATGGTAGCGGACCTAGATTTTCGAAAAATTCTGTTTGAAAACGAAATTTTGTATATATTTCGAAAATTGTTACTTTTCATTTGATCGATCCTTTAACAAATTACGCCGAAAATAACTTCTACAGGTCAAAATACAAATGTCCTTAGGTAATTTTCGAAAGGTGTTCGAAAAACCGTGAAAAAAAAACTGAAAAATTATAATTTGTGAAAAGTTGCATAAAAATTGTCAAAATATTCTGGGCAACACATTTCGATAAGCTGATTACAAAAACACAACGTGTTGATGGTCCCGGACCTAGTTTTCTAAAAATTTGATTTGAAAAATTAATTCTATAAGTCGAAGTCTGCATCAAAATCCCTAGGTAATTTTTGAAAGGTGCTGGAAAAACGGTTTCTGCTGGACTTGTTGCTGATTCATAAGGATATTTGCAAAATACTAGCGGAATACATATAATTGAAAGAAAAATGTGTGTAAATGTTAATCTCTAACCGAAATTTGCATTTTCATCCCCACCAAAAAATTGATGACGTCACCTTAAAATGTTGCCAAGCAAATCTTATTTAAAATACGTAAAATAAATGTACCTGTATCTGCAGTTTATAATCCGCCCATAATTTTCTAAAATCATAAATATTTATATTCACTCGAAAACATATTTACGAATTACACGTTTTTTTTAGAAAAAATACGGCAATCATGCCGTTACTTTTGCGGCAATTTACTCATCTCTGACCGGAAAAATCGAACTAGAATGCAAAAGGTAATGCAAATAAAGCGTAGGTGCAGCACTCAATATTACTAGCCTAGAGGGATATTTCCGTTAGTAATCATTTAAAATAGGCACGGCAACTGGAGTCATAAAAATAATACCGCGAATCTCACCTAATGAACTAGATACCGAAAATGGTTTATGCTTCGTGGAATAGTGACTAGTCAAAAAAAGACCACCGTCTAGACAATTAAAGTAATTACCTAGTGTGCCGCTTAGCCGAAAAACGAGCCGCACCGTAATTGTGCCGCTTTTCGTAAAATCGAACCTACTAGACGAGCAGTGACAAAACTTGTAGGAATGTTAGCGTTCGTAAAAAATAAAGATAAGTACGAAACAAATAAAGTAGTAATATTTCCGCAAGATAAAAATCTGTGACGGGATGTAGGTACTTCATCGGATTTTTCTCCGGTACTTGTCACATCGCTTCTCTTGATTACTAAGTAAATATAGGATACCGCTACAGGACCACAAAAAAGCTCATACTTATTACAGTTACGCGCTTCATTGACTCATTAATTCAGTTATGTGCATATTATGAAATATGCATGTTATTGCCACCGCATCAGTAATCCAAGCTTCCGCTAACTCTATCACATTTTGAGTGATGATTAGCGTCGCCTGGATTTTTATTAGCTTTCCAACATATGCTAGATAACCGTTTCAAGTACCGTCAATTTATCACGGATTTATTATTATTAGTTATTTCTACAATTTTTTTTTTCAGACGTCGTCTCGAATACCCACGTTCCGGTCGAAGCCTCCCCAACTCAAGCCCAAGCCCCTTGAAATAACCCCGAAAGACATCGGCAAGAAAGTCCGCGTGGTCGAAAAAGAAGGCACTCTCCGGTACGTCGGCAACGTTCACTTCTCCACCGGCGTATGGTGTGGTGTCGAACTTTCCAGTTCCTTGGGCAAGAACGATGGCGTCGTTAACGGTGTCCGCTACTTCGCTTGTCCGCAGAGCTGCGGCTTGATGGCGCCACTGTCCAAAGTCTCGCTCCTCGAAGGCCACGACAACATAGAAGATGGGATTTCAGGCCCCTACAGCATGCTCTTCATCAACCAGAAGGACGAAACTTACAAAGCAGACTCCACCGAAGAGGACATCCTCAACCAGACCGTGATAGAAGTGTCCCAAGACAACCGTTTCAAGAGCAAGAACGACCTCAACGGCGAGACGGAAGCCGAGTTGGAGAACCACAAGTCGTGCGAGAACCTCTTCACGGAGTTGGCGGTGGAGGTGAAACGGAGGCGGACGGCGACGAAGATCGACAACGCGGTGTTGCACTCGATCGAGAAGCCGTCGTCGCTGCCGCAGCTGAGGACTAACCAGAGTTTCGGCTCGTTCGAGTTTGGGAGTGCGGCGTTGGCGGCGTTGAGTAAGTTCAGTCACTCGACGCCGGTGCGCGGGGAGTTCGAGGAGTCGCTGCTGAGGAAGCTGCAGCTGACGACGACGAGTACTATAGACGATGATGGGAGTAAGAGGGACTCGTTAGAGTTTGAGGAGAGTCTGGGGATTCTCACTCCCGAGCAAATGGTGGATGGGATGAGCTTCATGTCTGTGATAAACTCCAGAACACCAAGTTCGGAATGTATTGGGGAAATTAAAGAGAAGGCGGATTTGCCGAGTCCGGGGACTAATCCGGGGGCGAAAACGGAACTTCCGAGTCCGAATCTTGTGGACGCTAGCGTTACGGACTTTAGTCTTGGGATCATTGATGAGCAATTAATCAGTAATTTAACACTAAAAACTGACACCACGATGAATATGGAGTTGCCTCTAGACACCATTGATAAATCCAAAGACTTTACTTTAACGAGGTTGGAGCAGACTCCGTCACCGGAAGATCTGCCTCTAGATCCGACACCAATCGTGGAGAGCGACCCCAAAACAGAACCCAGCAAATCAAAAACTTCCAATAGCTTTATAACTAGTATAACTAGCATCACTAGTTTAGATACAGGGTACCAAGGTGATGGGGAGATGTCTAGACCGGCTAGTAGAGGCGCCGACAACTCCCCCTTGACACGACGACCTCTCCCCAGACCCCAAACCCGGCGTCCTGACCCCATGACAGACTCCGACTTTTACACGGAAAGCGACGCCGACAACCACGAGGAAAACCCACTAAGAGGCGACCGAAGAGCACAAGTCATTGACGGGACCCTCTACGGAGTGGACCCTCAAGCCGCCGCCGACATCTACGTCAACAACCGCGAAAACATGGACTCCAGTGGCATCTTCACCGACATTGAATCCAACACGCGGAACGAAGAGGATCCTCGAGATGCCAGCAACCTGGCGACCGACGTCTCCCCTTCGGACACCTCCTCCAAAACCATCTCCGGGAACAGTCAAAACAACATCCAAGAAATTCTAGAAAAAGCCGCCGCCAACGTCGAAGACAAAGAACAAACAAAAATCCAGAAAGAAAATCCGAAGAAGCGCAACGCTCCAAGTCCTGTGGTGTCAAGCCCCAGTGTGCGTTCCCCAAGACACGCCAAAGAGGAAAACGTTTCGAAAAAATTCAAGCTGCCTAAGCGCGAAGTCCCCTCGAAGGTTAAAGCCATGCTGGAGTCGAGTCCTCAAGGGGAGAAGAAAATTTCGACTAAGAAAACCGTCGGTAGGTGGGATGCTGTGATGAATAAAATCTCCAAGACTGAGCAAAAAACCAACCTGAAAGAGGTTAAATCAAAAGTGTTTAGTAGCGTGAATGTGGGGAATGTCCAGAGGCAGAACGAAGTGAGGAAAGTGGGACCTCGGCAGGCGGCTAGTCAAAAGTCACCAAACACCAAGTTGTGAGTTTTTTTTTGGAAATTTCTGAAAACTAATTGGGTTTTTTCAGGAGGAGGGTTAGGGCTCGGACTGGGAGCGCAACCACGAAGAACAACGTAGAAAGTAGCATCCATAGTTCTTTCAGCGATATAAGTGCTTCAGGAACGCCGCCGAAAACTACAGTGGGTAAGTGATTTTTTCGTGATTAATTTAAGTGTAGAAAAAATTTCGCTACCTTATAATTTAGTAGCGTCTGACCTTCTGGGTTTTACAAGTGGGAGTCATTGAACCGGAAGTAATTATTTCGATTTGCTAATGTTACGTCTTCGTGGGTCCAATTTCGATCAGTGGAGAAACGGACCATGAGAATATGGTATTATGGCACTCGTTGGGTGTAAAATTGTGGGTTTAAACGAGAGAAAAAAGCTCATTTCGTATTCCGGGGACACTTTGGAAATATTTAATATGTATTTATTTCAATATTCAACTACTAGAAGAGTATAAGCAACATATCCGGTTAACGTGGGGGGTTTATTAATTCGTTGGCCGTTGTCTTTTGCTGTTAGAATTGAAACATTTTCACAACGTTTCGTTTCGTCGCAAAAATACAGTTAAAATCGTCAAAAAAGTTACCTAATCGTCGGATGCAACTAACAATTAGATTCTTTAAATTTAATTAATATGTCGTTTTTTCCCACAGACATTTAATACTCGATGTCTTTAATTAACTAGAAATATTTAATGTAGTTAATTAGAAAAATTACCATACGATACAGGAAGCCAACGATATTAATCTAAATAAACATAATTATCTGCTGTAATGTTTTGGATTTAGCAAATTCCTCTACTCCTGACAATTGTCATTACAAATACAGGACATCAGTTTAAATACAACGAAGGACGAGTCATCCTTTACATTGTTTGCAAATACCTATCCAGTTACACTCAATTACCTTTACTTTTATCCAGAAATAACGACTATTAAGAGATCATTAAATCAGCATTTGTCAATGTAGGTCAATTAATTCCATAGTCTTATTTTTACACATTATCGATACAATAGTTAATTACTCACTGTAAATTACTCCAGTCGAAATGTGTTTCTACGTTGTTAAAAACGCTCACTATTTTTATTACTTTCTAGAAATCTACGTCTTAAAAAACGATCGACTCGATAAAAGCATTCTTTGCATAAATAGTACAACAGTATTGTGTTTATTTTGGTTGAGGTTTAAAAAATTTAACACACCTTACAGTTTCGGAAGCGTAACCGTAAACAAATTGTTGACAAATAAACATAATATAAAACCCACAATTTATTTCTTTTCGTAGCAGTTTCCAAATACGTCGGGAGTGGGCGAGTGTTGTGGGACACGCCGTATTTTGAAAACTAGTAAAACGTTTTCCGTTATTATGAAATTCGAGTGAACTTGAATGGAAACACGGAAAGACAAAATAACGTGAGAAGAAAAATTTTCTTGTAAGATAAAAGAATTGATGATATAATAGACGAAGTTGCGAAATTCAACCTAAGGTGTTCACGATTTTCGCAATTTTTAGTAATTTGTGAAGTCTGTGTATCGTCTGTCCGGATTTTTATTAAAATCACTGAACCAGTTGTTAAATTGTATATGTGTATTAGTAAATGTTATTTAAATTTTATAAAATTAGATGCTCCTGCACATGTGGTTTATTTATGAATTTTTATCCTAGACATCAAGATTTTTAGCGAAAAAATCAAAATTACCACATCTTGGAATTTAAATTTTAAACTGCTCTGAAATTTTGGAAACGTAAATCGTTAATCAATTTTGCCGATTTTATTTGTATTTACCAAATATTGATGATTCCAAAAGCATTGTTTATTATTTCAAATCCAATTCTCATCTGAATGACTCGGATTTAAGGATTCGATTATCGTTATTTATATATAAACATTTTTTAGTTGTTTTTTTTAATCTATTTTATCATGTTTTAACCAAACAGGCCAATTTTGACGCTGAAGTTTTTTATTGCGTTTTTTATAAAATAAAAAAAGTCAATTTTTGTCTCAAGTTTTTTTAATGCATTTTTTTGACGTTCAACTTTTGTCGCATTTAAAGGGGTTGTAGAAGAAAAGTGGAGGATTTAAGTTGATTATTACAAAAATTTACCATTTTACACACGTTTTAAGTTTCTTGTCGAAATAAGTCTACACATATTATGAAAAAAAGGCAAAATGTAGCCCCGCCCACCCACCCAGTCTCAATTCTGATGATTTTTTGTATTCGTGTTTAGCCAAGGGGGTGGAGCTTAACTGCACAATTCTTATTTCTCTACGAGAAATTAAATTAAAAAAATCTAAATATGTAGTAATGAACTTTTCATTCGTTGCCAGACCGAGGGGCGGAGCCTAATTGCAAAATCCATATTTCCCTACAAACATTTACCACTTTAAACATCTTTTATGTTTCTATGAATAAAAAAATCTCTGGGTGGGTGGGCGGGGTATATATTTTGCCTTCTTTTCTTAATATACATCGTATTCTTTGAACAGCAAGATATTCAAAAAATGTTTTTAATTTCTCGTAAAGAAATAAGTATTTGGCAGTTAAGCTTCGTCCCCCTAGTTCAGGACGAATAAAAATTTCTTAATATACGTAGCCATCTTTTCACAACAAGAAACTTAAAACATGGTTAAAATTTCCAAGGAAATATATGGATTTTGCAATTATGGGGCGGAGACTAATTGCAAAATCGGTATTTCCTTATACAAATTTTCCATTTTAAATATGTTTTAAGTTTCATGCTGTGAAAAGAAGTCTATACATAAATTAACAATTTTCGAAATATTTACAAAATTTCATTTTCAAACAGAATTTTTCGAAAATCTATGTCCAGAACCATCAACACCTTGGTTTTTGAATCAGCTTGTCGAAATATGTTTCCCGGAATTTTTTGACAATTTTTATGCAACTTATCAGAAATCTGAATTTTTCAAAATCTTCAAATTTTTATCTTTGTAATTTTTACCATTTTTCGAGCACCATTCGAAAATTACTTAAGCCCACCCACCCACCCTATCTCGATTGTGATGATTTTTTCATTCGTTGTCAGATCAACGGGCGGGGCTTAATTGCAAAATCCACATTAGTCTACAAGAATTTACCATTTTAAACGTGTCTTAAGTTTCTAAGAATAAAAAAATCATCACAATTGCGATAGGGTGGGTGGGCGGGATTTTTTTTTCAACACGGTACTGAAAAACATGTTTTTAATTTCTTGTAAAGAAATAAGTATTTTGCAGTTAAACTCTGCCCCTTTGGTACACGGCGAATAAAAAAATCATCACAATTGAGATAGGGCGGGTGGGCGGGTCGACTTTTCCTTTTTGTTTTAATATATGTAGACTTCTTTACACAACATGAAACTTAAGTGTATATTAAGAAAACAAAGGCAAAATATAAGCCCCGCCCACCCGCCCTGTCTCAATTCTGATGATTTTTTTTTATTCGTCGTAAGCTTAAGTGCAAAATCCTTATTCTTCTACGAGAAATTACCATATGAAATATGTCCTTAAGTAATCGTGTTATGCAAAGAAAACTAAATGTATTGATTATAAAAGTAAGCCAAAAGAGAAGCTCCACCCATCCGTCTCGATCTCAATTAATATGAATTTTTCATTCGTTGTCAGACTGAAGGGCGGAGCCTAATTGCAAAATCCATATTTCCTACACTTACGTTTCATGTTGTGAAAAGAAGTCTACATACATTAAGAAAAAAAGGCAAAATATAAGCCCCACCCACCCACCCTGTCTCGATTCTGATTATTTTTTTTATTCATCGTGAGCCAAGAGGGCTTATCTTAACTGCAAAATTCTCATTTCTCTATGAGAAATTAAAAACATGTTGTTGAGTATCGTGTTGTTCAAAGGATAGTACGTATATTAAGAAAAAATTAAAGCTAAAGATTAAGTCCCACCCATTCCTGCCCTGATCTAAATAGTAATGAAGTTTTCATTCGTTGACAGACCTAGGGTCGGAGCCTAATTGCAAAATCCATATTTCCTACAAAAATTTACCATTTTAAACGTGTTTTAAAAATAAAAAAAATTATCACAATTGAGATAGGGTGGGTGGGCGGGGTTTATATTTTGCCTTTTTTTAATATACATAAGATTCTTTGAACAACACGATACACCAAATATGTTTTTAATTTCTCGTAGAGAAATACGGATTTTGCAGTTAAGCTCTTCCCTCTTGGCTCACGACGAATCAAAAAAATATTACAATTGAGATAGGGTGGGCGGGCGGGGTTTATATTTTATGCTCCGCCCCATAACTGCAAAATCCATATTTCCTTGCAAAAATTTACTATTTTAACCATGTTTTAAGTTTTTTGTTGTGAAAAGATGGATAAGTATATTAAGAAAAAAAAGGCAAAATATAAGCCCCGCCCACCCACCCTGTCTCAATTCTAATGATTCTTTTATTCGTCGTTTTTTTATTATTTGGTTGTACAATTTCAAACTTAAATCGTAAAATGTTACCCAATTTTGATTTTTGCTCCAAAAATCTGGATGTCTGCGGTGAAAACTCGACACGGAAGTAGTCGTATTATACAAAGAAAACTAGATGTATTAATTAAAAAAGAAATCGAAGCACCACCCATCCATCTCGATCTCAATGGTGATGAATTTTTCATTCGTTGTCAGACCGAGGGGCGGAGCGTAATTGCAAAACCGATATTTCCCTGTACAAATTTACCATTTCAAACATGTTTTATGCCTCTTGTTTTCGAAATAAGTCTACACCTATTAAAAAAAAAGGGAAAATGTTGCCCCGCCCACCCACCCTATCTCAATTGTGATGATATTTTTATGCATCGTGAGCCAAGGGGGCGGAGCTTAATTGCAAAGTCCATATTTCCATACAAAAATTTACCACTTTAAACGTGTTTTAAGTTTGTAAGAATAAAAAAAATCACCACAATTGCAATAGGGTGGGTGGGCGGGGTAATTTCGAATCGTGCTCGAAAAATGGTAAAAAATTGCAAACCTAACAATTTAAAATATTTTGAAAAATTGAGATTTTTTATGAAAAAATTCTGGGAAATACATTTCGACAAACTGATTAGAAAAATATAAGGTGTTGATGGTTCCGGACCACGGTTTTCGAAAAAATTTTGTTAATACAAATTTCAAAAT